AATGTAATTCGAATACTCAAATTCATAACGAATAAAGTGAATAATTCGAATAAACCTTATTCGAATAGAAACCCTACTATTAAGTTGAAAAATTCCCAATTATTATTATTATTGCAAATTCTGTTTTTCGATTGTTTTTTTTGTTCTTTTTTGTCATTTTAAAATATTATGTCATCTGTATTTATACGCTCAATTTGAAAGATTGAATTCATTTTTTTGCAATAGTTAATATTAACAAGGGTAAAAAATTGAATTTACTACTTAATAGTAATTGTTCCCCATAGTCAGCAATCGTAAATTTGAAAAAAAATATCTGAATTTTTAAAAATTCCCTTTCAAGATAATGATAAATGACGACATTTTTCACAACCTTCTTGCAGTTCTTATCAATTTAATCCTAAATGAGAGAATAGAAGCAGAAATTTAAAGAAACTCACCTTGAGATTTTATAAGAATATTCTCTGTTTCAAATAATTATAATATTCAACACTTTTTCCAATGTGGGTTTCTAACCATAATTATAACTCCATATTCGAATATTCGTAAATCCAAAGTTACGAATTTCGAATATTATTTTGGATACTCGTAATTATTTTGGATACTCGTAATTATTTTGGATACTCGTAATTATTTTGGATACTCATAATTATTTTGGATACTCGTAATTATTTTGGATACTTGTAATTATTATGGATACTCGTAATTATTATGGATACTTGTAATTATTATGGATGCTTGTAATTATTTTAGATACTTGTAATTATTAATTATTTCAGATATTTCAAATGCTTTATTTAAAATATTTCAAATACTTGCATTTGTAAATATTTAAATATTCAACAAATCACAAATGTATCTACTAAATTATATTTGCTATAAAAGAAAAAAACATTGAAAATTTAAGAAAATGGTTGAACTATTTTTAAATTACGTTTCAGAAATACCATCTTTCCCACTCGTTCAGGTTTTAGATTAGTCCTTTTGGCAGTAATAATATTTCCTACATCACTAAATAATCTCTCAGAAGCAACAGATGTAGCTGAGATGCATAAAAAATTTTTTGCCAATTTTGTTAAAATGGGAAAATTATTTTTGTTTCCATTCTACCATTTAAAAGGATCAATATCATTACTTACATTACTAGAAAGATAATGTGATATTTCATTATAATTACCAACCACATCATTATCAGGTTGCAATATTTGTTTTAAAATAGAAACATTATTCAAATCATGATCACTAAAGTGTTGCCAAATGAAACTCTCACAAGGCCTACCTCTCTTATAATGATTTTTTTGGCTGGTAGTGGTCAATGAATTATTTGGTAATGGCAAAATGGATGATAAGGTTTCAGAATCGGTTGTTGGATATCTTTCATATTCTTCATAAACTTGAGTTGGCTCATCTTTTAATGTTAAATCAATTGAACCATTCATATTTGAAAGTTGAGAAACTCAAGAATGAGAAAGAGTTATTTTATAAATGAAACCATTTCTATGAGAAAGAAAACGTTTTCTATGAGAGAGTAAATGAAAACATTTTCTATAAGAGTAAATGAAAATGTTTCTGAAAAAATATTTAAATTGTTGTAGCAATATAAGTTATTTTTTTTATTATCTTTAAAAAATTTTTATTAGATAATATAAATAAAGTTAGTACTATTTGTTATCAATCGATAATCATTTGTAAGTATCCAAAAATAATTATGAGTATCCAAAATTATTACGAGTATCTAAAATAATTACAAGTATCCATAATAATTCTGAGTAACCAAAATTATTACAAGTATCCAAAATAATTACAAGTATCCATAATAATTACAAGTATCCAAAATAATTACAAGTATCCATAATAATTATGAAATAAATTATATATATTCAAATATCCTTGAATAAATTGATTTTCAAATATTCATAAAAAATTTGATTTTTGGTTAGGAACACTACTGCTAAGGCAACTTATTGAAATTAAATTGTTCAAATTGTTCAAGTTTTACCAAAATATAAAGAAAAGTCAAAGTGATATATTGATATAAAAAAAAATAGATTTTCCATAAAATGGGTTTTGTGCACAGTCGTGCGACTTTTTTATATTCTAAATTCAATTGAAATAGCAAGTTTCACAATATAAAAAAGATTGATGATCAATTTTGTCACAAGTGATAAAACGAATGTCCACTATGCTCTTTTTGTTAGGATGGAACCCATATGCTTATTTGATTCATTAAGATTACTAATGTTAATTATTTTAAACAGAAATGATAAACTTAATTAATAATACATTTAGCACATTACATGCCTGCAACAGGAGAGACCGTTCTGGGAACACAAAAATTAACAGGAGGGAATACAAAATTTTAACCCATGCAATTTGTTGATTGACCAATTAAAAT